TTGGAGGAGGTTTTGCTGGAAGTTGTTTCCTGACATAGAAAGATAAACCGAGACAGCTGCGAATGACCCACGTGCCCATGTATGACACAGCATCTTGTCCTAGGATCTTATTTATTCTGTGGGGTTTATTATAAGAAAGGAATTCACAGTTTGGTTTCCGTGCCTTTGCAGCCGCATTAAAACTCTTTGTCTGACTGTTTAAATTTTGAGCAGCTCTTAAGTGGATGGAAGGTATGCAGGCTTCAAGTTTGTGAGTTCAAGAGAGGCACTGATTTATTTCAACAATCTGAATTTGGAATTTAATTTCCATCTTCTTTGTTCCTTTCTCTTTGTTCTCTGCCTACTCTCTCTCTCTCTCTTCTCTCTCTTTCTGTTTCTCTCTCTCTCTCTCACACACACACGCACACCTCTCTTCTGTAGCTCAGGCACCCTAAATAAAATAAACTTAAAACAAGCTTTGAGACTTTTAAGATAACCCCCATGGTGCGGTGCTGATAATAAGCTCCACTCTGCTTGGCAGGCTGCTGGGTAATAAGTACATAACAGGATATTCGTGCCAGTTGAGCAAAGTGTGGACAACCAAAACGGAAAAATAGTATTAGTTTTTGCGGATGACAAGAAACTAGCAACCGAAAACCTTAACATATTCAAGCTTATAAATGAAAGAATAGAAGCAAAGAGCCCCATCTCTTCTGAGCAGTGTTTCTGGCCCGGTGACCAGTCATACTGGGGGGTTTCGGGCAGGGAAGCCGGGGCTGTAGCCTGAGTGGCACAGTGTGTGGCACATTGCAGGGATGCGTGGGGGGGAGTTAGTGTTTCTAGGCTGCAGCTTCCTCGTTAGATTCCTAACAGCACCCCCAATTTACTGGGGAGATAAAATCTTCCCCATTGCGGGTAGTCGTGGTGGCAAGACCAGGGCCTCTACCCCTTCTTCTCTCATTCAGAACGAAGGATGAGGGAGACACATAGCTAACCGTGGCCATCAGGTGTGTTCTCCAGGGACTTTGAATTTGGGAGAGTGACCCACTCAGGAACAGAGACCAGGTGGAGGCCATTGGCCATATCAAAAGGGATGGTGCAGAGTCTCCATTGAGTTCGTCCGTGAGCCAGTGGCTGCGCTTTCTGCTTTTTGGTTCTCTGGAGTTCTCTTACTAACCTGCTCCTGCAAGCCTGGCTCCTAGCATCTCAGTGGTGCTGTGAGCCCCTATCATTCCAATACTTTTCTTCTGCTTGAGTGAGCTAGAGTCTGCTGCTGTTGTTTGCTATCAAGGGCCTTAATTGAGATAGTACTATAAATGTGCCTACAGTGAATGAATTGATGGCATGAAGATAGCCCTAGCTTATATTTCAAACCTTTTATAACTTTTCACTTCTTTTGTCTAAATTGAAGAACTGAATCTCATGTACAGATGGGTTTTCTTGAAACTTGGATAAATATTAAAGTTTTATATAGCTTTCTTTTGGAGACACAACTGTTTTCTAAAAATAATTACAACTAACTTTTAAATATATGTTTATTGTATGGTAGTTAGAAAATTTAGGCCGGGCGCAGTGGCTCACGCCTGTAATCCTAGCACTCTGGGAGGCTGAGGCAGGTGGATTGCTTGAGGTCAGGAGTTTGAAACCAGCCTGAGCAAGAGTGAGACCCCGTCTCTACCATAAATAGAAAGAAATTAATTGGCCAACTGATATATATAGAAAAAATTAGTTGGGCATGGTGGCGCATGCCTGTAGTCCCAGCTACTCGGGAGGCTGAGGCAGAAGGATTGCTTGAGCCCAGGAGTTTGAGGTTGCTGTGAGCTAGGCTGACGCCACGGCACTCACTCTAGCCTGGACAACAAAGCGAGACTCTGTCTCAAAAAAAAAAAAAAAGAAAAGAAAAGAAAAAGAAATTTAGATAAGCATAAAAAAGAATATAAATATGTTCATAACATTTTTCTATATGGTATCTATGGACAAAATCATGGCTTAATACTTGAGTGGTATCTCATGGGAGGAGTGATATAGCTTGTGTAGCTAATCCCTTATTGTTAGACATTTGGGTTCTTTCCAATTATTCACTCTTAGAAAATATCCTTCAGTGAACATTCTCTTAGGTAAATCCTTGTATGCATTCGCTTAATTACCTTAGGACATATTTCAAGAAGTACAATTGTTGAGACAAAGAACCTGCATGTTTATAATGCTTTTACTCACAAGAATAGCCCTTACTAAAATAGGCTGACCTTTCTATTGTGGGTTTCTTCTTTAGCAAAAACAAAACAAAACAAACAAAAATGAAGAAAAGCCTATGCTTGAAGTTACCGTCAAGGCAGCCCTATTTAAAACCACATCGCATTAACTGTGGTGCTTCCATTGACCGGCTCAACTAAATAGAGACAGATGGCGCAAGACAATTTTATTAATAGCCTTGTCTGTTCAATACAACCAGAAATGGCACCTGCTTTCTTCGTACATTTATTCAAAAAACACTTATGAAGTCCCTACTGTGTGTCTGCCATGGTGCTAGGGGGGATATAAAAGGAAGTAAGAGCTGGTCTCCAGCTTTGAGGCACTCACTGGACTGTGAGTTGACTGGAGTGGACTTTATGGGCCACACAGACCCATAAACACCTTGCCAACAACACAGTGTGGCAGTCACTGCTACAGGAGAGGTATGCACACAGCGTTTGGGGACCAGAGAGCCAGGAGCATTTTCAACCTATGTATTTAAAGTGCTTTTGTTCCCTGCTCCCCCATTAAAAAGCACCATTTAAAATGGGACTATGAGATATGCTTTGAGAAACACAAGCAAAGGATTCTGGGGAACCAAAGACCAGAGAGATCAGGAACAACTCCAAGGAGTCGACAGGCGTTGACGAGTGGCAGGACTGGCATTGTTCGAGGGGGCATTCTGGAGGAAAGAGCACTGTGGGGACTGGCACAAAGGAGAAAAGAAAAGAAGTTTGGAGAACAGACTACTTGAAATGCAAGGTTTGGCTGCAGCGTGATGGCTGAAAGTCTGGGCTACCTTGATTGCTGTTAATAACCACATAAGGCATTTGCGTGTAACTGCATAAGTAAAAGAGTGGCCTTGTATCAGTTATCTTTTGCTGCTGCAACAAATGACCACTTGGTGGCTTAAAACAACACAAATTTATTATCTTACAATGCTCTAGATCAGAAATGTGACACAGATCTTGCTACAGTAAACTCAAGGTGTCTGGGGTGCTGCATTCCTTTCTGGAGTCGCGGGAGATAATCTGTTTCCTTGCTTTCCCCAGCTCCTTGGCTCATGGCCCCTTCTTCAAAGCCATCGGCAGCTGTTCAAGTCCCTCTCTTGTCCTACCACTTTGACCTCCTCCTCCCTGCCTCTGTCTTCTATGTGTAAGGATCTTTTCAGGGCTCACCTGTATAATCCACAATAATCTCCCCATCTCAAGGTTCTTAATCATATCTGCAAAATCCTTTTTGCTATGTAAGGTAACATTGTCATAGATTCCTGGGATTAGGACATGGATATCTTCAGGGAGTTGTTTTTTGCTTCCCCAAAACCAGTGAGCATTAAGGTTTTAGAGCAAAGAGCAACACTATTGGGGATCTGCCTGAGGAAGACTATGCTGACATCAGTGAGGAGGATGGACTGGAGGGTAAGAGATCAGTTAGAAGACCTTTGATGATTCCAGAAAAAAATATGACTAGGCCCAGTGGAAATAAGAAGGAAGGGACAGATGCAAAAGACAGAGTGGGGATAGACTCCCTGGGAACTGGTGGTTGGTTGAGCAGAGAGAGGGAGGAGGGGAACAGAGGTGGAGGTGTCAAAGGTGATTCCGGCTTTGAGCATCTGTGAATGTGAAGATAACGGTGCCATTTAACTGAGGTATAGGACGCATACAGATACAGGGTACAGACGTGCCAGGCAGAGGAGTAATAGGTGGGAATGGCTGAGAGTGAGACATGAGACAGAGACTGGGCATGAAGACAGGAAAGCAGAGATACATCGGATGGGGAGACTGAGGTGGGAAGAGAGGGAGAGAAGAGAAAAAGAGTAAGATGGGGAAGAAAAACAGACCATGAGGAAGAACAGCCGGAGCCTGGCAAAAGAAGGGGGCGAGGGGGACGAGAGACGGGAATTTCAACAGAGAAACTGAGAAAGGGACCAACTCAGAGGCTTCTGGCATGAACACGTTCGTCAATTTAAATTTCCAGTTCACTTGAGTTGTGCTCACAATTGTAAGTTAATAATTTTTAAGATTGTGTGGGAAGATTTATTTGCTTTCAGAAGTTAATCACTGTCCACAGCCTGTCTGTGCTGTTTGGCCTCCCGGAGTCCTTAGTGCTTCTTGAGGGGCGAACCATTCGCCCTGTGCCCCCTTACCTGTCGCAGTGAAGGAAGGCTCAGCCCTCCCTCTTCTCCTTTCCCAACACGACTTACCTCTTGAACTGTTTTATCCTTGGATTTTGAGGCCTTTGTCAGAGGTGTTGAGGAAAAATGGTTTTTGCTCTGTCACAGTTCCTCACAGACACCTCAACTTGCTAAGTGACACACAGGAGCTTTTGTAAGCTGCAACACGACTGCGAGTTGACACCCATTTTACAGATGGTAGCGTTGAGGCTTGGCTCCAGTGCAATCACAGGCTCAAGGTCACAGGTGGTCAAAGCTGGGAGAACAGGCTGATTCTGGGTCAGGAAAGGAAATAGCGGACTAACAAACGTGGGCAGGATCCCTGAGGAAGACTTCAGGCAAATGGAAACATTGCTTCTGTAAAACTTGGGCGCCAAGGAGCTCACTCTGAACCTTGCTCCCAAACTAACCTGCCCTGGTGGAGTCAGAGGCATAAGGAGGAAGTGAGCCATAGAGGAGTAGGATTTCCCCTGGCACAGACACCACAACCCCTTTCATATTTATTAATATTATATTGTCTTTGAATAGAGGAAGCGGGGTCACACAGGTTGACCAACTTGCCCAAGGTCACCCAGGAGCCTGCAGTGAGCCGGGGGCTCCCTCCCTGCCGCCATCGGATGGGCAGCGCTCCGGCCAGGGAGGGCGCATGCTGGCCAGCCGGGAGTGCGTGAGATCCCCGCAGCCCGCCTCTGCGCCCACTCCCCTGCTGCACCCCCGCCGTCCTCGGCGCCCAGCGGGGGCGGCAGCGGGCAGGGCAAGCGGGGACCGCCGGGATGGGGGACTGTTAAGCCCGCGCAGTCCGGCTTGGTCGGGGAGAAGGACGATGCACCGCGCACCCAGGTGAGCCGGGCTGGGGTCCTGCGTCCGCAGCCCCGGCCCGCGCCTCTCCGCGCCTCGCGCCGCCGGCCCCCGAGCGCGGGGGCTGGAGCCGGCACCCGAGGGGGCGGCGGGGAGGGCGCAGGCAGCGGCTGGGAGCGCAGCGGCGGCGGCGCGGCAGAAGCTCGGCTCCGCGGCTGGAGGTGGCCGCTCCAACCAGCCAGGCGCCTCGCCCCCTCGCCTCGGGCAGCGGGTAGGTGCGGCAAGTGCGCCCAGGGGTCGGGAGCCCGGAGCCCGCCTGTGTCAGGGGGGACGCGGCGGGGGCGGGGCGGCACGACGGGGTCGGGGGCTAATGGGCTCCGGACTCGGGAGACCTGTCTTTGCCGAAGGGTGGGCTGCCTGGTGGCTCCGGGTGTGGGTGGGCTGGCTGCTTGTGTGGGACGTGTCTCCAGCGTGGGGCACTGCAGGCTCGGCGCTGGCGCCCTGCGCTTGTGTATGTAAGTACTTGTGAAACTGCATGTGTGTTCACCGACTCTGTGAGCGTGTGTGTGGAGAGAGAGAGAGGGAGAGGGCACATAGGCTGTGCATCCGTAGCCATGTGTGTAACCGGATGCATTTGTAGACTCTGTGGATGGGCCAGGATGTGTAACAGAGAGTGTGCTCTGTGTGTGTGTGAGAGAGAGAGACAAGAGAGTGTGTCTTGAGTGTCTGGCTGTGCCTGTGTGTGGCTGTGAACGTGTGGCCACCCTTGTGCTGCATGAAGCTTTCACGGTCACTGCCAGAACTAGCAATCATCTTGCAGTTGCCTTTCACAGAATCCCAACCCCAGTTTGAGATGCGTTTCCTCCCAGCTTGCTACCCTGTGTGTGGCACTGTGCTGTTAGCTGCCTTTGGAAGAAGCGGCTGTTGACACAGAGAAGTGGCAGCTGGCAGAGGGGGAAAAGTCAGAGGTGTGAGCCTGTCTTCCTAGAGTTCAATGTTAGTAGAAAATCTTGGCTTGGTTCCCATTTGGTGGGAACCATTTGGTTCCCATCTTGATGGACCCATCAAGATGAAGAAAAAGTGGTTTTTAGGGTACAGATGTGGCATGAACCGAAGGTGGCTTTTGATGGAAGGGCAGTGGTGGAAACTGGCCTTCCCTGTCTTCTATTGCTGGGCTGTAAGCTATGGGTGACCCTGGTGGGCAGTTGGTGACGTTTGCCTGGTCTCCCGAATGGAACTTAAGCATCAGTGACGAGAGGAGAAGTTGCCTGATGAGCACAGGTGGCGAAGGGAAAGGACACTGGTGACACGTGCGGTGCCCTAGAAACAAGGAAAAAGTCGGGACAGGGATGAGACCCACAGAGTTCTGAGAGGGAGCTCTCACTTTGGAAACATATCAGCGTGGGAAGAAAATTAGTAAAAAGTAAACAGGTTTTGCAGCGTTCTTAAGTCATTTTTTAATCTTATGTGTATTTTCCTCATGGATTCTTAGCCTAAATTCTCTCTGATGTTTGCATCCTTCCGCCCTTGGGAAATGTTTATTATAATTATTATTACACAGTAGAGCGACGATCATCATCATCTCAACCCCAGGCGAATGGGAGCACATCAAAGCTAGCAGGCACTCCAGGGACTGTTTAGCACAGCCCATATGGAGTGGACCGAGGTGCCAGGGCCCAGAGGGCAGTAGTGCCGCTGGTTCCTGGGAGCCACGTGGATTTCTCTCTCGATGCTTGGCTTTCCAGGGGCTACAACAGCCTTGTAGCCAACACACCGAGCTGTGTTTTCTTCTGCACTTGTTCTCCTGGGCCGCCCTGAGTCTGTTCATCTCCCCCATCTCCCTCCCCAACTTCACAGATTAAAAGACAGCACCTGCGACCCCAAACCACTGCCTGGTTCTTCCATCACGTGCTGATCACCACCATGCTCTGAGGCACCCGGGCTGGGGACTGAAGTCACCTCATTGTTTCTCCTCTTCCTTCATCAGTAGCGGCCACAGCTTCATCAGTAGGCAGGTTTTGTCTGTTTTCCCTCAATAAATCTTAAATCTAATTTTTCTTTCCTTTTTATTCCCACTGTTAGCCCCTTATCAGGTGAGACGCATATTCAGGGTTTTGAGAGACAGGAGCGGATATAGACTGAGATCACTGAAAATATGTGAAGAAAATGCATGAAGAGGAGACCCTTGATATTGTCACTGTCTGACTTAGAAGTTAACTCAGTTCTTTGGAAGAAGAATCTGGATGATGGTTGTAGCGTTATGTGACCTAGATCAAGTCTCTTTGCCTTTCGAAATCACAATGTATTCACCTGTGAAATGTGATGAATGATTTCAACTAGAATCGAGTTGCTAGATCATTTTTAAAGGATTCTCCTAACTCTAAAATTCTTTGATTGCCATTGAGGTTCTTTGTTTTAGCAAGAAGCAGTTCACCTAATGCCTAATGGTTACTTTCTGATACTTAATCACCTTCCTTAAAAATTCAATTTGTCCTTAGGGAAAGGAAATAGGCAAAGGGGAAAAAGAGTGAAATGCACTATTGGCTTAAGCTCGAGATTGAAGCTCAGCTGCACACATTAATTAAGCTTTAGCGTTGGAGGAGTTTTTGAGGTCACCCGTTTTCACCTCCCATCAAGTGCCAGAATCTCCCATACTACTGCCTTTTTGAAAATTAGAAAAAATGTGTCAAGCCTTATTAAGACAACTCCACACCATGCTATAATTCAGAATTTCTTGGCACTATTGACATTTTGGGCTAGATAATTCTTTGTTGTGGGGACTGTCCTGTACATCCTAGAATGTTCAACAGCATCCTTGGCACCTATTAGATGCCAGGAGCAACCCCTACTTATGACAAACCAGAAATGTCTCCAGGGATTGCTAAGTGTTCCTAGAGGTGGCAAAATCCTCTCCCCTACCAACTGCAGCTGAGAACCACTGCTGTAATTCAAACACAAGTCTTGTAGCCTTGTACAGAAACATCTTACAACAACAAATTTTAATTAGTAGATGAATTGCTGTGTTGCTAGCTGCCTCTCCGCCCCCTTCCAGCTTCGCCACCCTCACACATTTACCTTGATCCCTCCTGGTTTTTCACTGCCTTGTTGCTATGCCTGGAAACGCTCAAGATGCTGCTAGAGGCTGAGAAGCATTTCGGAGGCAATATATTAATAATAAGAGTCCTAGGAGCTCACATTAATACAGCCCTTGATGTGTGCCAGGCGCAGTTCTAAATGCTTTACGGGGATGAACTTATTTAATCTTCATTAAGAATCCTATGGGAGAGATACTTCTATTACCCTCATTTAAAAAAATGAGGCAGCTCAAACCTAGAGAGAAATAACATGCCCAGGTTCTCTCAGCTATTGAGTGGAGAGCTGAGTTGGATGGTGTGTTGTGTGGCTCCGAGTCCATGCTCCGAAGCCCCATACTGGAGTGCCCTGTACAAACGGGGTCTCGGCATCACAGTGTGTAAAAGATCTTAGCTATCCTCAAGCCCAGTTGTAGAACCAAGTCTGTCTATGAGACTACAAGGTTGTGAGTTGTGATTTCTCTCATTTTTTATGTCTTCTTTCCCTCCTCGTTATGCAGAGATAGCTCAAAGTCACTTGCAGACTGAGACGAGTGGTGGGAGGGTTGGGTAATGGAAAGAAAGGATACACACAGGAGAGGAAGGATGGTGACCAAGACGTTTCTTTTTCCATGAACTCTTCTTCACCATCATTCTGAACTTTAGATATTTCTTCTCTCACCAGAATTTAAGTTGCCACATTTTTATCAACTCCCTCCTTATTCTTGTTGGCTTGCTCTTTGGTCCTTCCATTCTGCGTGCTGTTGACTTGTTACACTATTGAAGCAGTACAAAGTGATGCCCATTTGCACAGAGGGAAATAAAAGTACAGTATAAATGGCTACCAAAGAGGCATGTTGAGAGGGTAGGCTTAAATATAGTCAGAGTTAGAATGATTACCGTACCAATGACTAATGCACTCGAAAAATCCATGGCAAGCCTGAGAAGGTTGACTGTTTTCTTTAAGACTCTACATCAACAAATCCACAGGTTTGGTAGCTGCCGGTGAGTAAATGGCACAGCCTGGCTTTGCCAGCCTTGTGATTTGGCTAAGACAGTGGTTCTCCAACTTTGGTGAGCAACAGCATAATCAGTAGGGCTTATTAAAACACAGATTGGTGGTCCCCACTTCTAAAGTTTCTGATTTGGCAGACCTGGGTTGGCGTCTGAGAATTTATATTTCTAAGGGGCTCTTGGGTGTTGCTCCTGCTGATGGTCTTGGACCACTATGTGAGAACCACTGGGTTAAGACCTGGATAACTAAAATAAAGCTTACAATCCATACACCTGGATTTTTTTTTATACTGAAAATATATCTTAGTTTTAAGATAACTAATCATTTGGATTAATGAGAATCAATGAGTGGAGCAAGGTGGGAAGAACAATAGCTACGAGGCATGAATTGACATCTCTCACTAAGCATCTTAAGCTTTGCCTCTCATTTTGAGTTTCAGAAAAACCTTTGTTTTTTCTCAGCAATTCTACTTGTAGGTTGGATTAATTCTCATCTTAGATCTTGTCATGTTTCCATCTCCACCCACCCCCACTGCAGCCTTAATTTGGATGATTAAATCCCTTGTTACTCATAGGATAATCCAAATCAAATGTCCCTTAATATCTTGTCTACTGTCTGATAAATTCTGGTTGAATCTCTCTGAAGTTAAGGAAGAGATGTATTATCTGACCATCCGGCTTTTGTTTCTTGTGTGGTTGCTCTGTACTTTTCCCCTTTTAAATCCACATTATTAGCACAATGGAGAAACCCAACAGAAATTCAAGTCTGCATGCTTGTATGTAGCTGATTAAATTTTTGAAGTCTCAATCAGAAAGTTTCTCTTAAAATCAGATTTCAAACTCAATCAACTTCTTCTTTCTTCTTGACAACCAGCATTTTTGTTTTGTTTTGTTTTGTTTTTTGCATGACCACACATCCTACATCCAACCAAGGTAGCTCCAAGTACTTGCTCAGGAAGATCTAGCCATTCTGAAACTCAGATCCAATTTAAATAATATTTACTGAATGTTTGCCATGTGCTGCGGAGTATTGTACGTTTAGTGTTCTTTGATTTTTCTGACAACCCTTGAGAGAAATACTGTTTCTCTCATTTACAAGCGAGAAAAACTAAGGCCTAGGAACTTTAAGAACACTCTTGTATTAGTTAGAAGTTACAACACTATTGTATTAGTTACAACACTAGTT